CCTTTTCACCGAGTAAGACGCCATGGCACTCACGCCACGTGCATTCTCGTCAGTGGGTTTGATCCCTGACATTCGCTTGTAGCCCTAATATAAGGACTGAAGTGAACTCTCTTTCCATAAATAACGCGAGTCCATTTATAGTTTGTGTCCGAACGAAGTAGTTCGAAATGAGTACATCGAGCTGTAAGTGACCTCGCAACTCCATTGACTCCGTTAAATGACACCACTTCTTAATAGATCCACGAATGAGAAACACTGCCATCAAAACAATTCAGTTTGTGAGTTTTTGCTCTTTGTGGGTAAATCCTGTCAGCACTCCAATCGGTTCTCACTTGAGCCTGCTGTGCTAACTACCCAGCGCTTCAGTACGTAGAGTTAGTAGGGACTACGTTATGTATGGGGAACTATTACTAACCTTGCTTAGAGTTACCTTACTTGCGTGCCATTCATTAGTCACTTTTATGCTACGGAAACCGGGATAAGCTCTGGCCTGATGGGCCACTTGACCAGTATGCAGACTTACCCCTTACCTTTGACTGATTTATATCTTTCTCATTTTGTTTCTAATACCAAGCATAACACGTACCATCCATTCTTTCCATCATTAAACACCATCAGTATTCGATTTATCGTTGTACATACCGCAACACCTCTTTGCTGTAGCTGGGTAACATTCTTCCAAACTGACCCCAAAGAGTACGCCACATAGAACTATTTTTAAATTATAGTTTTATATTTTCGCGAGTTGTAAGTAGCTATATGTTTCATTCACCTGATTCAGTATTTACTAGCTGTTCAATTCTTATACATCATATTAACTTTATATTTTCACCTTAAGTGTCGGCTACTTTAATTTGATTTATCGCACCTCAGTTGAGTCGGTTAGCGATCTTCCCCGGGGAAGGGGTACTCCCTTTCCGCTGGTACTTTCTGATAGGGGTGTGCGGCCCGAACCTTTAAACCCTTACCATAGTTTAGACCAAAATCTGTGATTTTATCACACCCTAATTTAGACCTGAGCCAGAAATGTCAGACCTCCAAAATAAGTACAGGGCTCTAACATATAACCACGTCTAAACAGAAATGGCTCCCATTTGCGTAAACATTTGAGAAGGGTTACAAATTTGCCAATGTTGATGCGGAAAAAATTAGTTCCTTTCATACAAGAAACCCAGTGCAAAGCCAGAGTGAAGAACACCCTATTTTAGACCAGAATAATCAAAATCTCTACCGGCCCTTTTCAGATCAAAACAGCTCAAAAGCCACACCCTTTGGTGTAAGAGACCGCAAACGAAAATGCTGTCGGTGTAGGAAGGATCTGTAAAGCCAAAAATGGAAATAACAATGTAGCAAGGCTGGTAACTACGTAGAAACAGCGACATGATATAGAGTCCAAACGCGCTGAAAGCCAATCGTGCACAGCTGCTTCGACTTTGTTGGGTCTCGTCAGCACGGTGTAGCAGAAAGCAAAGCAATCGGCTGACCGATCGTCAACCAAATGCACAATGGTAATGACCTCAGATGAAACTCAAACCCAAATGTTTGCTGATTGGCCAATGCTACATGCAAAACGCAGGACAACGGACAATGGGCAAATCCACACCCTTTGGCGCTGCACATACCTATTTAGCCCATTTAAGGGAGTACCCATCCCACGGACATTGTTCCCGCTAGAATTCGAAAAATGTGTGTTTCTCAGACTAACGTCCTGCTGTTGCCGTGTAAGTGTAAAACACCGTGCCGAAAACATGTAACTGGGATTAGTTTAGATTAAAGTTCAAGCACGAGTAAATTTACCAAGGCTAACAAAATTATAATCAATTTGTAATCCCTATGTAAAACAATTTCTTCGTTACCATTTTTACTTGGATTACAACTCTGCACTCATTATTTATCGCCTGGGGGGTAGGAGGATCTTTGCGTGCGATCATTTGATTTCTGGGATAATAGAAGGGGGATCAGTCATAACTGAGAGCTAAAAGCGGGGTGGCGCATCAGATGGCCGAATTACCACCAAATGTCACATGCCCAAAACAGACTTGGTGGACGACTATTTGGCACTCTAACAAGTAACTTTGCAGTTTCCACGCACTTGGGATGGTTAGATTGCGACTGGGCGTGGGGCGGATCTAGGGGGAGGGGGAGGGGAAGGGGGCTTCGGTCGAACCCCCTGAATTTTAAAAAAATGAGACATTTTAACACGCTGACTTGCCCCCGGACCCCCCTACAGGGAGCGCTATCCGTACCTCGAAT